CGATTTTCTGACAATTATTTCTTGGTTCTGGCTCTACAGGGCTATTAACATGACAGCGGTGGAAAATCAAAGCTTTGTAACAAAGTCATTTCCCAGCACAGACTTGTGTTGGTCATCTGAGTCATGTTTGTGTACTCGTGACCTTTACACCTGGTTTATCTTCACCGGTTCTGGATTTAACAGAATGACACAATCGCTGAGCCATAGTTTATTTACTCAGTAAAAGGCAGTATTAGTATTAGATAGGATGCTATCAACAGTAAAACTGGGACTAATATGCTAAAAAAACCAAACCTGTTGCATTATTAAAGATGAGGCTGGTAGATCCTTGTTGAAGCTACGCGTCTATACTCACTTATAGACTTAGCTTAGAAAATACAAAACATTGCTCTGTATTGTGTTTTTTTTTTCTTGTGTCTACTCAGGAAAAGCAGATATCTGAGCAGTCTACACTTTCAACAGCATGCTTTCCCCTCCAAACTCCTCAGATGGTTTTAATTAAAATAACCGTTTGACTATTTGAGGTTCAAAGAAGCAAAAAAAAAAAAAGAAAATTGTGAGAAACTCCAGTATTACATAACTAATACAAAAGCAATGACCTGAGAAAAGCCAAAAAAAAGCTCATTAATCATCTCACAACCCTCCAGAGTTCCCCTTTGATAAGTAAGCTGCACATTATAAATACAACATTTTTATCAGTGCTTTAATTTATTAAACTTCCATGCATGCTGCCTCTTGCGTATCACAGTTCTCTTAGATTTACAAAAGGTGACAGTTTCAGAAGCCATCACTGTTTCCATTAGACAAGATAGGATGGGTTCATTTACCAAACCATCATTTTTAATTACAAAGCTTTTCAAAATAAACTACCGTGTTACTTACCATCACTTTCAATGCTTGGAAAAATTAGCTACTGTACTCCTTTACCAGAGTGCACTGCCTTGGATATCCCATTTATGAATTGGGAAAAAGGAAACGAGGACTTAGACTAATTTTTAACCGTAAAACAGTTAAAACCTCTGTTGGATGATTCCTTATGTAAATGCAGCTTCCTGTTTTTCTTAAATCCACCCTGTGATGAAAATCAAGATATTTATCTTACTAACACGTCCATATGGTGTCTTTTCCACACATCGTATATTAAATAAGCAGTCAATGCCGTGGCCGAGTATCTCCACTTTGAAGCAGCAGTGTACTGATGACGGTCTACACAACATGGACTCAAACTTCTAAGGTTTCATAAGTAATAAATCTGAGGAAGCAGTTCTTATAACTTGCAGGATGAGACTTTCTGTAACGTTATTCTTCTTCTGAGTTGGTTTCTAGTTCAAACATCCATCCATCATCTATACAACGCTTAATCCTCACTAGGGTCATGGGGAGCTGGAGTCTATCCCAGCTGACTCAGGGTGAAGGCAGGTTCACCTGGACAGGTAACCAGTCTATCACAGGGCTACACTTAGAGACAGACAACCAAGCACACTCACATTCACACCTACGGACAATTTAGAATCACCAATTAACCTCAACATGTTTTTAGACCTTGTGGGAGGAAGCCGGAGAACCCGGAGAGAACCCACGCTGCACGGGGAGAACATGGAGACTCCATGCAGAAAGATCCCAGGTGTCCTCACCGGGACGTGAACTGGCGACCTTCTAGCTGTGAGGCAACGGTGCTAACCACTGATCCACCTTGCAGCCCCAGTTCGAACATGTATGGCCAAGTTACTTGTGCTGCAGGAGTATGCTATTTCCAAAGTGTTTGAGCAGAGTCACAGGTGAGCTGGTGTGCTCGAGCGGCAACAAGTGTGGAGGCGGGTACTTCATAGAGCTGCACGTTTAAGGAAGCAGCGGTTTTAGAGTTAAACCTAAGGGTCAGTTCATGGTTTCTGCTTGAGCGATGGGAATTTTGAAAAAGGACAGCAGACACAACAAATTACACAACAATAGTACATATAGGGATGCTTCATGAAGGTGTTTCTCCTCATGACAGGAAGCATCCTTGGTTTTCCTGCCACATGTACTGTTCATGACAAATTGACTTCGGCAGACGCTGAAATCTGTGAATTGGCCTCAAGGTAGAACACAATTATTTTCTTATGATTATTTAACTTTGATACACAGACACGAGTTTATGGGCGTTTAATCACCAAAGGAGTGGGACTTTAATACTTTGTCCTTGCCTAATGTACATTTTGAATGTTCATTTCACACTTTTTATGATTGCGTAATTGTCGTCATTATGTATCTGCGGGGCGGCGTCGCGAGTAAAAGCCTCGCAATTAGTTCTTTTTCCTCTGATTGAATAACGGTCTCTGATCTGAGTTGAAAAGGATGCCCGACCCCCGAGATGAAAACCACTTTGCAAAACTAATTGAGTGTATATAAAGAAAGTGCAAGAACGAAGTACGGCTGTAAAAGGCATTGACGCATCGGTAGCAATCTGACAGTACACGAACATTTTATTTCAGCGCTATGATAAAGAGGAGCTGCCTTCATTTGCACAAAAAAGGAATCTTGCTAAGTGGACACATAACTGACAGCATGCAGATTTCTACAGTATTTTCTGTGTGTTATACGCAGTAGATCGCTGGAACCGAAACAAAACAACAACAAAATGTGGGAATCACATGATATTTTATTTGTGACTGAACAGTGGCATGGGTACAGTGTATGGGGGGGAAGTCATAGACGTACAAAAGTCCTTTTTTTTTCTCTTTTTCATGACAATTCGTAATTCCATAAATAAAATTTACAAAATATTTTGGACTATTTCTCATTTTTCTTACACGAGCAGGGGTACAGTTACAATTCGTTATTGTAAGTCTAGCGGTTAATGGTGATATCTCTTTACTGATCGCATGATATGACGTCGCCTGTCTTTTTCGACCGTTTTCACTCAGTGGAGCAGACCTACAATAAGCCTATAAGTGCTTTGTTACAACAATGACCTGTTTACTGTATACAATGACCTGACAAGAAGAACAGTGACTAAGACAATAAAAATAAACCTGATAAGGCATCGAAATGCACTCTACTGTCTCTGAGCTTGTGGTTATTTAAGCCGTGTCACGTCAGAATGAGTCGATTCTGCTCGCTCGTTCAGGAAAAGCGAACAGAGATATGATTCTGAGAGGCAAACTGTAAACAATGCGACCTCAGTTGGAAATGTAGAATATCTAAAAAGCAAAGAGATGCTGGAAAATCTGCCTCCTATCGCTAAAAGTCTCGAAGAAGAAGTAATAGTTCAAGCTCCCTCGACTTCTTTCGTTTCTCAGCTTCGTCGTGAGTAAGACAGGTTCAGCAGGCTTTATTTTCAATGACCATGTAACACAGATTCACAGTTCATTTCTCACCAACCCAACAGAAGACATTTTCAGAAATTAAAAAAGAAAAGAAAAAACAAAAAGTTAAAAATGGCTGCAAAAGCGAAACAAACGTCCAGACGTCAAAGATGGAGGTGCTGGTAGGGCATTGCTTGAGAGAAACACAGGTAGTTGGCATCCAAGAGGCAGAGAGCTATCTTATGGCACAGAGGCTCAGGTATGGGGGACCGGGAGGATTCTTATTTACAAAATAGATGTTTGGCAAATTTTGATCTCAACATTGATGCCTCGGAGTCATTTCCGATATCCGCAATGACTCAGCGTCATCAACCGAGAATTCACAGCTTATAAAATAAGAAAAAAGAAAACTCATAATTTTATTTTATTTTTTTTGTTCGATTTGTTTCAGGCCTAGAAGGAAGCCGCAGAGAACAGTTCCGCTCGCAGCTGAGTCCGCTGAATCCACATTAAGTCTGCTCATGCAAATGGACGGATCGGTGGAGCAACACAATGAGAACATTTGGCAAATCCACCTGCTGTGAACAGTCTTTGCTGGTGGCAGCTGACAAGCTGAAGGTCAACCACATACAGTACGACGCTGCTCCTCTTGAAAGTTTCCAAAAAATAATTTGCATCATGAATGTAATCATGTTTGTTTTTTTTAAATTTCCTCACAGATATAAACCCATGAATCCATCACAGAAGGACGCAAACTCCTCCTGTTGTAGGTTTTCGGTCAAAGAGCAAAGGTCACTTCCTGGTTGAAAGGTTATTTGATTGGACGATAAAGCCAAAGTCTGGTTGGTCGCCATGCTGAGGAGTACAGTCCAGTCCAGTACAGTATGTGGCCTCTGGAGGAAAAAGCAGATCCTAGGACAGCCAGCTTATTACAGAACTGCCAAAATATCCTTTAAAGGTTGAAAAAAACAGAACAAGTCTGTGTAATCCAGCTGTGAGAGAGGCTGCTGCTCACAGTCACTCGTCTCTCTTCTTCTTCTTCTTCTTTTTCTCGTGAGCTTCTGTCTTGGCCTTGAGAGCTTCCATCCCCTGCAAGACAAACACACAAATCACTGAGGCGTGCACAGTGCGATGCAGTTACGAACCTCCTCACCAGGTGGCAGCGTCGTGCCTTCCATCTGTCGGGATGACGCAGAGCGGTGTAATGACAGAAACACTGAACTGAACCAAGGCCCTTTTCCAATTGGCAGCGAACCAACTCATTCACAAGGAAAAGAAGAAGAAAAAAAAGAAGATATACTGACATATGAAAGTATAAAGCTAATAAAGGAGCACAGAGAGGGGTTTAGGAAAAAAATTAGACAAGGGTAGTAGGAAAAAAAAAGAGGCTAATGCCACAATGTGAAGACAGTTGATTGATAATGCTGAGAAACCAGAGAGACGAGGTGACCGTGAAATACCCACTCATTGTCTGGTTGATCTCTAGCTGTCTTCCTGTGGACAGGTTTGATCCTGCGGAGGATCAGGGTCTCCGTCGGGCACCGGAGACGCCGACCTTGCAGCGGCGGCGGCACCCTGAAGGAGAAAATCGCCGTTAAATCTCTCTTCAGCTGCTGAGAACTCTCCCATTCAGCCAAAAAGCATTTAGGAAAATGACAAGAATTAAGTTGAAAGTGTAATTGCGGCTTATTATATGTGATCTAATCAAGACTCTCGAATCACCTGTGACCTTTCGCGATTAATTGATTTGACATTTTTCTAGGAAAAAAAAGGGGTAAACTCAATCCTGTAATCACACGACAACCTTCTCCGTGTGATTACATGTAACATACAGGGAACAGATCAGTAATGTAATGGATTACAGCGTCGTGCCAGTCAGCTGCTAAATCGCATCCATGAATCTTATTGACTGATATGTGACCCGGGGGGGCGACCGGCGCTGCTCACCGATTGTTCCTCCTTGCTGGCGTTGCCCTCCGGGTCGACAGGCGAGTGATCTGTAGGGGGGTCACTGGCCTGGGAGGGGGGGCAGTCTGAAGACGAGCTCTGCTGAGGGGCCGGAGTGGACGCTGCACAGAGAAGAGCAACAAAAAAGCACAAGCGAGGTGACATATAGACGGATTTTAAATGGCGTTTAATGCTCATCTGCTCTGCGGATATTTTGGCATCAAGGTTGTAACATGAAAAAAAAAACGAAACTAGGAAGTTAAATCTAGATGATGACCTTTATTTCTTGTCATCCCCTCTGCTTTTTTTTCTGATATACTTGACATTCTGTATACTATCAAAAAAAGAAAAAAAACTCTTTTCGTCAAAAGGTCAACAGAATTTTTGGTCACACACAAACAGTTTTCTTATTTCCGAGGCACAAAGCTGTCGAATAGAAGCAACAGCTAGTTTTGTGAGCTAAATGGTACAATAAGGCAGTTTAGGAGGTGTACAATAATGTTTATAGCGGTCATCATCATAGTTTAACATCTGATAATTAGTACTTAATACGCATTTTAGCTGAGGTTGATGGGAATGCCATTAATTTTTCAAATCTGTCATGACTACCTTTAACAAATGTTCCACTCAGTAGTCATTAAATAACCCATACAATGCACATTTACAGGTTTATAATTTAAATGTGTGGGTCTACTACAGAATGTTTACATGCTTTAATGGTCAGAAAGCACATTTTTTTCTCATTTTCTACACATCTTTCCTTACCTTTAATCTGAAATGCTTCATTTTTGTCTCTTAATAAAAACTCTGATTGGTCAGCTTCTCTGATTAAAGAAAGATAATACTGGTTACGCACCGTAACCTTAGATATATGAGGATAAGGATGGACCTCTGGCAGAAGTGGCTCCAGTGAGGAAATAATGGCTGACTGTGAGGCAGCTGTTCATTTTTCATTTGAGGGCCAAACTAGCTGCAAATTAGGTGCATAAATAAATAACGGAAGAAAAGCCTGGACTTCAAATGAGGCGCTTCAGGCAGATAAGGTGCATTGTTTTGTCCCTTCAGTGTGCAAAAAAACAAAACAAAACACAACTGCATATTACCATAAAGGAATAAAGGAAAAGGGAAAACCCCAAAAGCATCACATGAGCTCTTTAAAATGCTTCAATAAAAACAGAAATATGAGTCACATGGTGTCTTTAGGTTAAAGTCAGATGATCACTGAAGTCAGTCATCCTCTGTGGACCATCATTGTCTGCACAGCAATTAACAAAATACATGTTTAGATGGACCAGTCTGGTCAAAAGTGATGGATTGATCCTGTAGCTCACGAGGCTAATGAACGGTTCAACTTTAGCTTTCTTTGTATAAAATGCTACAGATGTCAGTTTCATAGGGTGCAATCATGCAGGAGGGCGACGACTGAAAGCGCTTACGAGATTCAGTGGACGGTGACGTGGACGTGCCCGGGCTCAACGTCATCCGAGAGAGATCCAGGTCGCTACAGCTCCCCTCTTCTTCCTGGGTCGCAGCAGCTGGAGGTGGCAGCAGCTGACTGCAGGCCAGAGTGTCCGGTACGTTCATGAGGCCCGGGGTTCCACACCTGCTCACCGCCGCCGACACAGCACCGGGCCCCGCACCTGCTGCTCCCGACGTGGACGGGCCCTCGCCTGCGTCCGAGTCCAGGCCTTCTTTCCCCAGGCTAAGCTGCCTCTGGAGCAGGGTGGAGTCGGCCGTGTGCTGGGGGCTGGTGATGGCCGAGGAGGGGGCCGACATGTCGCAGGCTTGGGGGCACATGGTCGTGATGGGTACCAGGCCTTGGAGCATGGCAGCTGGGATGGCGTGGCCCCCGACGCCCACCGTCTGGGCTGGCATGTACGCCGCCATCGCTGCCCACTGCTGCTGAGTGGCAGGGAAGATGTTGGCCTGGCTCCAGATGACAGGCTGCCCACCAGGGAGGACCTGAGCCACCTGGAGGGGACCCTGCACGGGGAAGGCCAGAGTCTGAGCCTGGGCAGGGAACGGCTGCTGGGCCCACTGAGCCGCCTGCACCGGGCCCATAGTCATATAACCTGAAAGAGAGGCAACAAGAAGAAAGAACGGAAATGATGGGAGGATATCAAAGCAGGAATAGAAAACGAACACAAGCATCATTATGAGCACGGAATACATTTTGTCTCCTGCGAGTTCAATATGTTCAAAATGACATTTAATACATCTGTGACCAACAATTAGAGCGATTTAATTCTGAGGGTAACAGCAGAAAAGGTGCATTTAAGGATGTAACTGTGAAACTTTTAGATATATTTTCTCGTCCCATTTCGTGTCCCGTTTCTGAAGCAAACACCGCCGCAGTAGAGGCGCCGTAAACGATGCAATTCACTTTATTTTTTGTCAAATTTATGTTGCTATTTACGGTAATGGAGCTGCGAGCGGCGACTGTTTTGACAAAGCTTCATCGCCGTCGTGTTCGAAGACAATAACTAAGATTTAGGTCTGCCGCTAGAAAACAATGGGCCTCGTGCAAGAACTGCTTGTACGAACCGATTTAAGTATATAGTGCGACTGATTTAATAGAGCTCCTGGTTTTTCTTGCAATTTTCTCTTATTTACAAATGAGTTGTCCAGACCTGACGTATGACTCATCCACATATAGTCGGTTTTTCTCCACCAGGGGGGAAAATAAAAAACACTAATTTGACCTACAGTTAAATCAAAACGCCTTAATCTAAATGAAATCGGAGTTTAATTATAATATAGAAAGCAGCTATAAAAAAAACACCAAACTAGGACAAAATTCCCCGTATTATGCTGGGATGACATGAGGTTGACAGCCTTGCTAATATGTTCTAATTATTTCAGGTCCTGTAACCACCACAACACTCCTTCCTGAGAGTACTTTTCATGCTCTGCAGTTCCTTTTACTCCTTCTAACCCTTACTGTGACTGCCCCAGAACAAAGTGGCCCAGGTACATGGTAGCTTCATGGATGTAGATGATGCTGATGATAATGCCTCACAAGCATGAACATTCATCAGGCTGAAACAAGACATCCAGTTTGAATCCAACTGGGAACAACTGCGCAAACAAACACCTCAGAAAATACATAGCAGAAGAATGGAGCAGTGTTTTTGCTCGAGGCCCACTGACTTAATAAGCGGCATTATCTCGGACGATGAGAATTTAGTCGCTGCTCGCGTTATAAAGGTCGTTCTTCAGCTGGCTGCTGTTTGAAAGGATGCTGGGACGTTCTTCAGTGTACTCAGAACACTACAATGTCAGTTGTTTTATTAAAATATGCAAAACCACCACCAACATCTCCTTCAAATAGCATCCTTTTACAACATCTCTCCACTGGTTACCAGCACAATTGCTCCTCAGTGTGTGTGTGGTCCTTATAAAAACTCAGATAAATCCACATCCTGCTAAATCTTGCCAAGTTTTTTTTCTTTTTTTTACCAACTGAACATCAAAGAAACATATCCCCACCAGCAATTTCTCCTCTTTTATGTTTTGCATTGTGGAAAAGATGCAGCGCTTTCAGTCTCGGCTAGTTTACCTGACGGCACAGAGGTGGGGCTGAAGGGGGCGTACAGCTCAGCAGGAGTATGCTGCTGCTGGCGGCTGCTCCTGCTCGGGTCCAGCGTGTTGGCAGGTGATGGGGGCATCTGGGAGGATATCACACACACATGCACAGATGTCACCGCTATCAAAGTCAGCTTAAAGTCACTGCGTTATCTTTGATCTGAATCCGTCAGATATTCAGGTAATTTCAGTCCTCTACGAACGTCCAGATGAATTGACCTGACGGTACAGACAGAATGCAGTATCTCCAAATTTGTACCAACTCTACGGCTTAAAAGAGCGTTTGTGCGATTGCTACTCACCGAGGGAGGAGTGGACATGTCGCCGAAAAGATCAAAGTGGTTGATGTTCTGTGAGTCGAAAAAACCGACGGATGAGAGAGAGAGAGAAAGACAAAAGGCCAGTGATACATCACGACAATGAGACTTGCACAGTCATGAAACCTCGAATTCATCTCCAAATAGGGGACATGGTGGTTGCATGGGTGGGTAGGTGTGGGGAGTGAAATCTATTCACAAAGGCGGTTTGTGCTGCGGATGGCAAGAAACAACTATCCCCTCGTTTCATTATCAGAAAATGGATCTAAAATGAATCTTTCGTGGCTCGCCATAATTGAGTGGGTAAAAGGCTATTCAGTCCTATAAAACAGACTCTGATTAGATATTCTTATGTCTGCCAATCAAGAGGAGGCCCCCCATGAGAGCCCGGGCTGCTTTATTATGCTGATTTCACCCCGCGAGCACATTTGTACAAATAGGAGTGTGTTTGTTTCATCAAACGAGCGAAGGGAAGACGCTCCTGAAACCATCCGACCGCGACAATGAGGCCACCTCACCCTATAGGCGGACGTGACCCCTGCTCTAGTCCCCCCTCTGTCCTCCGCTCTACACTACTTAAAGGACGAGGGACGCGGCTATGGAGGAGACTATGGGATGGCTAAGTTGCATGAAATGTCTCTGGGGCCATGCACAAGCAGACAATGAGTCACCGTAAAGAAGCACAAAAACACACAGAACACACAGGATTTCGCATGCCAGAAATAAACACACACACACACACACACACACACACACGAACAGAACGCGAAAGAAAGAAAGAAAGAAAAACGGGAGGAATCGCAGCAATCTGCGTTGCCGCTGACAGAGTGTTTATGTCCTCCTGGAATAAGCCGGGACATAACGGATCGTACAGTTTTGCACCGTTGAGGGCCACAGAATGAGTCAGAATTTGGGGGAAAAAAGGAAAAAAAAAAAAAAGTAAACAGTGTACACAGAGGTCTCTCCCTGCAGGCACTGACACACATCAGGGGAGCTCGAGGCTCTCAGAAAGCTCCAACTGAATGAACAGACAAGCAGTAACACTTAGAGATATGGAAGCGCTGCTACTTATACTGGCATGGGCTGCTTAGGTGAGATAGCAACGGGGGCCGGGACACTTTATCTGTTTGATATGCTCAACAACGAGCACACAAACAGCCAAGAGTACGGAGGCACTTTGCTGTTTTCAAAAAGTTGCGTGGAAATTCTCTCTGCGTGAACGTTTGGGCAAAATAGGCTTGAATAAATGCTTTTTTTTTTTTTTATTAGCGATTTGAGAGATGTAACAGCGTGGTCACTGCATGGAGGTGAAGAACTCATAAACCTACCAGGATGAGATGAGATATATTTTCAGTTGGATGAAAAACGGAAGGGGGGGAAATTAAATTAAAGAAAAAAGAAAAAAAAAAGAAAATGCTTTGTGCTGTTTTCTGCTCCAATCAATCCACAGTAGAAAAAAATAAATGTACCGCTGTTCATTAAAGGTACAGCGTTCATGAGCGTTTGGTGGCCTTGATCGTATGTAGCTGTGGCTACACTGCATGCAGCTCAACCCAACACCCAACCCACCTACAAACCTCTCATCCACATCCTCTGAGGAAGACGGAACAGCCGCCCCTTTATTTAGCCAGTCAGTCCACTGTACTGTTTTTTTTTTTTGTCTCAACCATCTGGTCGAGACATGCATCAGATTCTGCGCAGGATTGGATTTTGGAAACGAAGCCTGCCTCTCTAATGTTCTGTGAAATTGCTGACAATGTCGGACTTTGGTCGACCAATCAATTAGTCTTCGAGCGGGCTCGGCGTGGCCAATGCGGCTTCGTTTTATCATCATCGTCACAGAGAGCGGATGCAAGGCTCAGACCCCTGCGTGACTCGTCCTTGGTTTGGTAAATGTGTTTCTTTTTGAGCCCGTCGGCTGCAATACGTAACTAACGCCATTAAATACAGCAGAGCGGAGTAATGTAAATGGACACTGTCAAAAGGTGGCTCAAGGCTCTTCCTTCAAGAGGATCTTAAAGAGAGGTTTGCAAGTAGAAGAGTAAAGAAACAAATAATAAATAAAAATAAAAAACACCTACAGTCATGAAATGGCGTTTTGGGACATCATAGATCCCTTCCTTCTGCTGACTGGTTGGGACCTGCATTGGATCGGAGGTCGATTCAAATGTAAGTAACAGATCAACACCTTTTTTCTGTTCTTGTTTTCCCCTAGCTGGGTATTTAAAACAGGAACCTACAAGAACTGAAACATGTCTATTGAAATAGAAATAAAGCGTACAAAATCAATTTCTATTTAGGCCAATTTTTAGATGTAATTTTAGCTTTTAGCGCAATGGGATTATGCAAATTCTACAGTTGTGCTGCCGAATCAATTCTACTTAAATCAATATTGATTGCAAACAATGCTTGAAGAAGGTGCGTACGGGTTTCTGTGAGTATTAAGAAAGCCTATTGTTATTCTGCAACAGTACGTCTCAACTGGTTCGTCTGATGAAATGAAAATGCCTCAGCTCAGGCCTTTTTTTTTTTTTCTGTTTATTTCTCCCACAGATATCCGAAACTATCTGTCGCTCCCAACCTCGCTGCCTGTCTCTCCTCGCGCTCCCTCGACTGGTTAACTTTCGGTTACGTTTTCCCCAAGTCTATTGATCTTGTTTCACTCTGAGATCAAATGGCATGGCAAGTGATTAATCTCTCTCTCTCTGCATCTTTCATCTTCAGAGGAAGGCAAGATACAGAGAGGCAAAAAAAAAAAAAAAAAAAGAGGAGGAGAGCGAGAAGAGAAGGGGGGAGAGAGGGGAGGATTAAACCAAACGATAGGTCCCTGGAGTCCTAGCTGGTCCTTCAAATGGTCTAAAACCAAAAGGTCATACTGTTGGATGTATAAAAGGAGCCTGGTACACTGGCTGTGGCTGAACTACGCAGAGTGAACAACTGACCTTGACTCTGCCGAAGCCGTTATGTGACATCAGTTTAAAGCTGCTGCCTTTTTCATTTCAGCATCTTTAAAGTTGTAGTCCTTGAGATTTTCCAGGATGTAATACTATTCACGACGTGTATTTTTTTTCCACCATTAGCCATTCAATGCATTTATAATCTGTAATTAGCATTTAGTAGGCGGCAGGGTTTGCCGGATTCGCCTCCAAATGCACAACCACAAGAAATGATGCATGTAATCCGGGGTCATTTCTCCCTCGTATATATCATCTTCATTGTTCGCTGTTTCAGTCTCCTACACAGATCTGTATCAGCTCACTGCAAACTGCTTCTTTAAAAGCACGCAACAGCTGAAACACCGGGAGGCTCTTATTGTGGAGAAACCAGACGAGCGCTAAATCATTAATCAAAAAATGCCACGTCTTCATTTTTGACAATGAACCGTTTTAACTTTTGCAGGAAATAAAAAAAAAAAATTGAGATTTGAGATGCTCCTCGGCGAGGCCTTCGCTGCGCTCTGCTGGAACCTAATCAGCAATCAGATTGTGGCACAATATCATTTTTTGACTGATTTCCTTATTAAGACGATGTGAGTTTCCAAACAAGACACACCGGCGGCTCTTTCCTGACAAAGCACCTGCTCAGCAGACGTTTGCGGCAGTATTAATCTTCATCTGCTCGTACCTCGGTAGCCATGTTTGTTGCCAAATCGGCCGACTGGAATCTTAAGGATTACAACTTTAACAAATCTCTCGGCTTTATCTGCTCCTTTCCTTCACAGCTTTTTCATCTTCAGCCACGTTAGTTTGACGTACGTCTTTTGAAACCCCTTTTCTCCAAACATACTTTTCTTTAAGGAGTTCTATGAAGCCATACTGTTAGTACTATTATCATCGATCACAGGGTACGAAGAGGGAGGGGAGAAAAAAAAACAGGAGGAGGGGGCAGTGCTTGTCTTTGTACCTGATAAACGCTCTCCTCTGACTGGGGGCCACGGAGGGGTTCGTGTCCAGCCTCAAACACTATGTACTACAGAACAGAAGTAGTGGGCAAGGCATAGAGGTGCAGAGAATAATGAGATGGAAAGACAGAGAGAAAGAGAGGGAGAGGTTGGCATATAAAACAGAGAGGTAGAGGTAGTGGAACATGACGAGAATAAATGAAAGCACAGGGGAGTGGGGATGGCGTCGAGTGGGAAGGGAAATGAGATCAGGAATATGAAGGGTGTAAGAGAAGAGAAAAAAAAAGAAGAAGTGGGGCATGGGAAAGAGGAATGGGGAAGATGAAAAGAGAAATAAATAAATAAATTAAAAAAACAAGAGTGAGGTGGGAAGAGGAAAGAGCACAAGTAGAACAGGTCAGGCAATAGTTCAAGGCAGTGTGGAGGTCTTAGCCTGAGGTCTCCCTTCGACCTCAGCAACGTGACGCTCCACCTCTTTCAGAGAAAACAGACCCGGAGGTCAGAGTATTTACTTGAGATCCTTGAGTGAAGTCTTCAAATGTGTCATAATTTCAATTGAAGCTAAAAAATAAATAAATAAAAACAAAAAAAAATAAGATGCCTTTATGGATCTCAAATTAAAAGATTAGTTTGACAGTTTGGGAGACGTGCTCAGCTGCTGTCTAGTTCAGAGACAGATGAGACATTTTCACATCTGCATGGTGAATATTGAGTTGGAGCTGGATAGCTTACTTTAGCCTAAAAGAAGCTAACCTGGCTGTGTCTGATCTGTGCGTAAGCTGTAGCGCAAAAATGTAAATTTTCTGGCTTTTAAGCAGGATTATTGTCGTCCTTTTGCACATTTCGAGTTGTTTACGTTACATACTGTGCGACCTTTCACATCCTCAGCCGATTAATTTGCACATTCCTGCACAGCGGAAGCGTTTTTATTACTTATTATGACCTCTGGTCCCTTGATTACACTTGCTGCTAATGACTTGTAACACTTGCAGTCTACTGACTTGTAACACCTTTTTCTAAATATACCTTTTACTTTCACAGTCAGATTCCTCATATGTGAAAACCTCCTTGGCAATTAAACTGTTTCTGATTTTATAGGCGTAATGTGGTGGGCTTCATTTGGCTGGAATTGAGAGGAAGACTCCAGAAAGAAATGTACAGCACATGATTCCTCCAAACTTTCACATATTAACTGTTGAGGTCTGATTTTCCTGCCTTTGAACCGAGCCAGGCCTCGCTGATTCCTCGTGCTAAGCTAAGCTAATTGGTTTCTGGCTGCGGACATGACAGCGGCATCGATCCTCTCATCCGACTCTCAGCGAGAGAGCAAATAAGCACATTGCTCCCTCCCATAATGTCAAACTACTCCTTTAAGATTCTGGCCACAGTTTGGAGTTTTGTCAACCAACATCAACATAAAAATCGAAAGCTGCAAATGGAATGACTTCATGTAAAAAAAAAAACAAAAAAAAGAAAACACACTTCAAGAGCAAAGAACAGAGGTGATCTGGGAGGTGGCTGGACGTACCACTGAACATAGCATTCAGAGTAAGAGTTAGTGTTGTCTGTATTCAGTGTGAGCAAACACAGAGAAAAAAAAGAAAGAAAAAAATCATGTTCAGCCAAATAAATGCAACGAGAGAAAGGGGGATAACAACCAGTCAGGGGGGAGGGTAGGGGGGCATGTCTTTGGAAGAAATCGGAACATTGACACAGATCAAACTTAAAAAATATGGTTTTACAACACTGCACTGGCAAATGGGAGTTGAATGGTTGAACAAAACTGTCCACTAGGATGGTCTACTGTGTATTACTGGAATGGTGCATAATTATGAATCATTAATTCAAGCAGATCAGTGGCTGGAGAAGATATATAAATTAAGGATTAATTGATTTTTTTTGTGTTCTTATTTTTTGTGTGTGTGTGGATTCCAAGCTTTAAGAGTGAAAACAGCACCAGTGAAGCTAGAAAAGCATCAAAGTCAGCAGAGTTGGGTTCCGGCTCTGAGTGCCCACGGACCTACCTGGTAAACTGGGTCGTCCACTTCGTCCTCCAGGATGGTCTGCGTTTGCGGAACAGAAGGCAGACGACACATTTTGTTTTTCAGTCTCGTTAGAAAGGAAAAGGACGAAAACCAACAACGAAAAAAAAAAACCTGCATTCATCACAGTTTGTCATTTCCTGGATGCAATTACAGCCTGACAGCGTGTTGCCTTTTTTTTTTGTTTTTTTTGATTCGGTATATCACAGAAACACATATTTCCTGGCTCGTGTGTCTGACTGTAGTGAAAATAAGCATCGAAAACCTGTTGCATTTCCATTATATTTAGATATTCGGCGGAGAAATCAATGGCGCAGACAAACGCTGACTGCGATGCACTTCAGAGGCGGCTTGGAAGCGTTAAGATATCTGTTGTGTGAATGAATTGCTGGCTGAGTTATAACGTGTGATCTCACCTCCGAATGCAAAATGAAGCTGAGAAAAAAAAAAAAAAAAAAAAAGCTAAGAATTGCCTCGGAGAGTCCTACCTGGTAGACCGCCTGCTCGCACTGCTTGTCCTTCTGGGCCTTCTTCTCCATCTCCTCCCGCTGTTTAATGTCGTAGATGAGAGTGAAGAGGTCGCGCAGGTCAATGATGAGAGGCTCCGCCTGCATGACAGAGATGGAAAGAGAGCAAAGAGGATGTGGCACATTAAAGAATGGAAATAAGAGCGGCGCAGCGGCAGATGGTAACCGATTGAAGTGCCACGGCTCTTGAAGTCGTTTTTCATCCTAAACTTTTGAATCGAGAAAGGTTTCAGTAGTAATATGAAGGGAATGGAGATCTAAACAAGTTCATAAACTATTACTGAAACAGGATTAAAGACAAGGTCACGTCATGGATTCAAGTGTCTTCTGTGTCTCCAACTGTTCGTTTCAAGCCTCTTTTCAGGTACCTACAACTTCCTGCCTCCACCCTGATCTATTTCACCTGAGTCTCAACACCCAGTCAGCCCCCATGAGTACATCGTCTAGGCTACGTTCAGACTGCAGGACTTAACGCTCAATTTTTTTTACGAGTTCGTTCACATTTCTAATTAAATGCGACTTGTATGTGATCTGCTGTGTGAACTTCATACGACCCAAAAGTGAGTGTGACGACGACGTCACACGCAGCGAGCGTGCTCAGTGTTTAGGATGGTGACGGTGGAGCGTTATATCTTTATTTTTCTTCAGCATTGGAGCCAGGACCGTTTATACCCACGCTCGGCCATTTGTTTTGAAATGTTTTCAAAAACCGCCCAGTTCCATTAACACTCCTCGAGTTTGGCCTGAATAGAGCTGCCCTCCCA